ATACCCATAAGGAGCCGTACACATGCCGCAGTGTTTGCGAGGCTATGTCTTTAGTTGTAAGCACAGTGGCGATCTGTTGTTATTAGCATCTGGTTAGCTAGCTATGCTAACGAATTTAAAGAGCTTTTCTACAACCAGGTGGAAGAGAGCTCTCTCCTGAGAGGCTCAAATAACCTCAGCTCAGTGAGGTTAAGGCACACCTTGATATGATCATTATAGTTATTAATGAGACATTAGAGACTACATTATTAACAGGTATAAAATACTATATGACAGTAACAAAAAAGTTGTTAAAAATAACAAGAATAGAGTTTGAAAGGGGAGTGATTTGTAAAATATCCAAAAAGAAAAATCTGCTTACAGTTCTGTTTCATATGGGTGTTGAGAGATGTACCCATAGATCTCCTCATGTTGTTCTCAAAGTGCACCAGATTGATGCTTTTAACTTCAATATTTAAAAAAAATCTTCCCGGGGGAGCATACCCCCTGACCCCCCTAGAGGAGGTTAGGTCCCCCCCACATAAATCATGTTCACATGGATAGGATACTAAATACATTTGCACACATCTTGTGTCCATATCTTTCGGTTTTGGTGGTCATGCCACAACCGTGCACGTGAATGCATGCATGCGTCAAACATGAGTCATGGTAAGATAACTGGATTAAGAGGTTGCTTTTCTTTGCACAGCATGAAAGAAAGGACAAATGAATGGGCTGTGATTTTAGTTTTTTTAAGCAGAGGTTGAGTTCAATCATTTGTAGGGCCCTCGGAGGATGTTGTACAAATTGAAAGGAAAAAGGTTCCCCACCCCTGCTGTAAATAATAATAAAAACCCTTGATTTATAACTTAACATCTCTGTCTCCTATTGATCTGAGTAAATTATAAAGAACAGCCAGTTAATTGAAGCATTATAGCACAGGCCTTTGTCAGATGGTATATTACGCTGTTTTTTTTCTGCTTCGAATAGTTCTCTCTTTTTTCACCATACGTGTGTTTGCATCACTGCACATTGAACTCATGCAGCCCTGGGGGGCCCCATATTGAACTCTTGCAGCGCTGGGGGCCCTACATTGGTTTTGATGGCAGATTACATGGTTTGTTCACCTTTACAAGTTTGACGACATCATGTCGTAATTAAAGGATTGTATAAAGTGAAGTTTCTCTTTCTACATAGACGATGTTAGCCTAGCCACCTTAGCCAGTCAATCAATAATAAACATTAAATAATAATTGTATTCATTCACGGATGATATAAAACTCCACGCTGTAGAACATACATGGTGTACACGCAAATGTATTATTTATCATAAATACTTTGAATGAGTATGTACTTGTTGCTATCATTGTGGCATTAGCTGTCTCTGCTGGTTTATCAGGAGTATTTTCCCTATAATATGTTTTCTGAAAGTCTGATATGACAACTTGTAAATGTATTAATTACACCTTAAACCTGTTGATTTTTGTTCTCCTATCAATACATATGAAAAGAAGAAAGAAAGGTTTGTGATATGCTGCTGTTCAAAACAACCTCTCCGCCCCCTACGTGTGTAAGCTGAAGGCTTATGTTGCTCTCAGCTCTTGGTGCCTGCCTTTCAATAGAGGGTGCCTCACTGAAAGCAATTTTCGGGGTGGAGAGTAGGGCTCCGGTGCAGTGGAAGCACCAGCACTGGCCCTGGAACCACCGCAGTGTAAAAGGGGAACATGTGTGGAAGAAAATAAGACCAGAAGGTGATTGAAGTATCGTGTGTTGTGTTTGTGTAGTCATCCTCCAAGGTCCTGTATGAGGGAAGTGCTGGAACAGACCAACAGAATCTCTTACTACAGCTTCCTAATGAGCCTGGCTAAACATGAAGCCATCAACCAAGCTATTGGTAGGTGTATTCATTATTTTAAACTAGGCATTCAAGGGTATGTCCACCTACTACATGGCAAATTTAGATTTTTTTAATCCGATAAAATAAATAGTTATATAGATAAATAGTTATTGTAAATGTGAATTCAGCCTATCATCATGGAAAGCTAGCTTTGTGTCATTATGTTTTTAAGCTGCATTAATTAATGTTCTTGGCCACTTGAGGTCATTGCAGCAGTAAGACCTATACACCTCCAGAAAAAGAAACAGAACATTCATGTTCATTTGTAGTCTTCTTTCTGTCCATTTCATGACTGTACCTCCAATATCCACTGAAGAATATTGAGGGTTGTGAGGGTGGTTGGTTCAAGGATTAAAAGTATGTGGATTTAAAGATGAGCACATGGAGGCAGGAGTTCCAGATCATTGTTTTTATTGTAATTTGTTGATTCTAGTTTGTCTTAATTGTAATATTCATACTTCAAGTGATATTCCAGCAAAGCAGTTATCTTAGTCTTTACATATGAAATGTAGAAATAAGGTAACTAAATGCAATCTAAACGGTACAGAAAATAGGGAGATAAACTACTCAAGCTGCTATGAGAATACAATACAAAGGAAAATAAAACGTACTGATGATTTAGTCTGACAAACAATTGGTGCTCAGGAGTTGCATTAGGCCAGCCAACTTCTTTGTTCATGGGAGGAAGGATTTGCCACAGGTGAGCTGGCTGCCTTTATTGATTAGCTAGCTCCGCCCCTCCAGGGTGGCGGGAGGAGGGGGCAGGCAGAGGGGGGCAGGAGTGGGAGAGGGATTTTCCACATCTACTCTCTTCGCTCTGTTTTTAGAACTCATTAGCTTCTGAATCCTCTCTTATGTTTACCAGCTGTTACAAAGTAACAGCTGTTAAGTGCTGGGCAGTGTTTAGTGTATTTTTTTTTTGAGGTGGTGACAATTCTCTGCGTTAATCACCACATGACCACATTCACATCACCACATTCAATTAAGACATAACAATTCATTATACAATCGTTAAGCATTTAGGGGATTTTCATTAATACTGCTTCAAAAGGATGACTCTTCTTCTGCCCTCTTTCTGCAGGAGCACTACCCAACAAGGCAGAGTTCCTGATTGACCCAGAGATGGACCAGGAACTGGACAAACTGTGAGAGAACACACACACAAACACTCCTGTGTATCAAAAAGGAAAACGGGATGCTGCACAGGAGGCTAGCCAACTCGTTTTATTTTCTTTATTTTGACAGTTTTTTTTACTTCTCTTAATATCTCTTACTTTGTCCTGCGCTGTCCAGAATCGCCCAGATCTCTGTGAGTCCTGGTAGCAACAGCAGCGGCAGTGCGGTGGGGGGGCTGAAGGAGATGCTGCAGAGGAAGGCTTCCCCCAGAAGGAACATCCACCACAGAAGGAGGATAGAGGTGGAAAGTGATGGCTCCACAGAGGAGACGGACTCCTCTGAAAACTGACCTCTCACCTTTCAGCTTCATTCCCAAATACACAGCGGCTGAATGGAACATTCAAAACTGTCTTGCCCATTATTTGCTATATAGACCCATATACTGACAGTGGATAAGAGGACAGCTGTGCAAGAGAACACTCAACCTTGTGACAGATCACTCCAGTCTTCTATTTGTCCAGCATTGCTGTCAAGAAGAGAGTTATCCAGAGGAAGAACGGTCTACATCAGATCCACTGTTGATGCTTCTCATTGTTCTCTATTGCCCCTTTCACACCAAGGCTTTTCCCGTTCTAGCTCCGTGCTAGAGCTTTTCTGGTTCGGAACCGGTTCTTCGGTTCAGCTCCTGCTCTGTTCACACCGCTCAGAGCCCGACTTGTGCTGCGTCATCGTTTGCGTCATGACGTAACCGTTTGCATGCCTGCTTCATAAAGCCAAACCGCGCGGAAACCCCTCACATCGACAACAACAATGGCCCATTGTATTGAAGCGCTACTTGTTTTGGTTTTGCTCTGTCGAAACGAAATGGAAGAAATGGGACGACTTTACTACCAACTTTACAGTCGTTACATGCTACATTCAAAAGTTCTTTACTATCATCATCATTATCATCTTCAACGACGAGGTAAATATACGTCCTATTCGATGGCGTTAGAGCTAGCTAGCATGCTCCCCTCCAGCTTCCTCTGTACCTCTTCGGAAGACCAGATTCTCAGAAGGTAGCTGGTCTCTTCAGTGGACCACTGCTGCTTGTTAAGTTTTAGGTTTTCCATCGTTGTGTACAAACTGGATAAAACGCAGGCTTTTTGTTGTTGTTAGAGATTGATCCCGCCCCCGCCTCCGACATAAGCGTGACGTATGCGGTGCTTGCTTTCTAGACCGACAACTTTTTATTGCTTGAAACAAACCGGATTCCGGAGCTTTTCAAGCTCCAGCTCCGAACCGGCCCTGGAACCGCGTCGTGTGAAAGGGGCATATGTGCTGTGTGGTCATGTGACGTGCTAATGCTCTGAGGCGGCAGTGTGTTTATTTACAGTTTTCCCTGAAACCCAGTTTCTGTCATGCACTGATATCATACCATTCTGAAACACTAATCAGTAAAGTAGTTTTATGTATTGTAGGTTAGTTGCTACTTAACCTACTGGTCTGTAGGTGGACGGTTTTCCTGCTGCTACGATCCTTCCCTTTTAAAGGATGGACACAACACTGGACATAAACACTAAAGCATTCATGGAAAAAGTAAAACGTATTTTAACAACCATTGAGTGTAGTGATGCATGTTCTACACGTCTATCTGCTGTGCTCAGCATGTTGAGGAACAGACACTGAAGAAAGGACTGACACATTGAACAGCTCCAGCATACATTTAGACTTTACATTCATTGCATTCTTAGTTGGATATAGTTACATAAACCTTACTATGTGAATGTAAAATAAATATCCTGACTTACACTGTGAATAAAAACATATAACTGAGGCCTGATGTGGACCATTTGTGTTGCTGTCTGACTCTGATGGGGTCTTCAAGTGACTTTATATATTTGTTCCACCTAAGAAATATTGCCAAAGTACGCCTATTTTCAAACCAACAAGACGCTGAAAAGCTTATTCATGCATTCATATTAAGTAGGTTGGACTACTGTAATGCACTCTTTGCTGATCTTCCAAAACAGTATGTCGCAAAGCTGCAACTTATCCAGCACTCCGCCTCCAGGCTTTTAACAAAAAACAGAAAAAAGAGAGCACATTACTCTTTTTTAGCTGCACTACATTGGCTGCCAGTGTCTTTTAGAATTGATTTGACTTGTACTGGTTTTTAAAGCTCTTAATGGTTTGGCACCCACGTATCTCACAGTCTCGTTTTCTGTCCCTGGACGAGCCCAGAGGTCCTCTTCAGCTTTTTAATATCCCTTAAGTCCCCCAAAATAAAATGTGTGAGGCAGCTTTTATCCACTCAACCCCAAACTGTGGAACACCCTACCAGGAAATATCTGAGAGGCCAGCTCAGTGGACATTTTTCAACGACAGCTAAAGACACATCTTTTTAGATTTTTATTAGCCTTTAGTCTTTGTTATTTACCTACTTTTATATTGTTTAATTTATTGTATAGGTCTTAGATGGTTTTAACTTTTTTTATTTTTGTTGGACATATATGTTTACTTTATTTTATTTTTTTCCATCAATTCACTTAGTCTTATTTTCCGAGAGGAATCAATATTTATTTTATTGTATTTTATTTGTATTCTCATACCTTTTACCTTCTTGTGTCTCTTAACCCTGCTATGCTGCATGTATCTGAAAAGGTCTTAAAAGTGTCCTATCATGCAACATGCAATTGTTTGTCTTTAATACATAAGTATGTGTTTCTGGTGTGTCAGGGAACTCACAAAGTGTCGGAAAATAAAACCCTCTCTCTTTTCCTGTGTACCCACATCTCTGAAAACGGGGGTACAACGGAGCTGATCCAGATTTGCTTCCGATATGACTTATTATCGGAAACGCTCGCGGCCCTATCAGAAACGTTGCTGTCAGAAACAATGCGCGACGTATTTTGGACGTAATATGGTCTTTGTTTACATTAGCAAGCATCGCTAACACTCACGGCTCCTACACACGGCGGCGTGCGTTGCCGCTTCAACGCTTCTGCCCATTCACTTTGAATGGGGTGACGTCATGATTCGCCAAACTGCATTGTGGGAGCAACCCTTTTCCTTCAGGTGTGTCATTTACCTATTGCATACAACAATAGTTACCAGTCAAACCATTTCTGACCTCAATGTTGACCATCTCTACCCTGACACCTCCAACTAACCATTTTTTAGATAAAACTTATTTGAAAAGAGTTTTGTCTGATTGTACACAACATCTTTACATCCTCCTTCCAGATAATTGTTTGTATAGTAACTCAACACTACGCTGAAAACACCCAACAGTTATATCATCCTACCCTGGTGTACAATGCCATAAGGTGAGAAACTTAAACACTGGAGGTGATAAATTGTCCAATTTCTTTAGCTTTTATAGAGTGAACAATAGTTTTGATCCTTTTTTTCGAGGATTTATCATCTTATAACCTAAATTACAGCCAAGGGAATTACAAAGCATACCTTGTGAATAATATGTGAATGGGATTGCTCTCATCAAAGACACTTTTTGTTAGAAATTGTAATAATAAAATAAAATCAAGTTGAAAAGAAATGCAATAGGGAGAGGATCAGAAGGTTAAGAGATGTCCTGTCACAATCTCTGTTCTTCAGCTTTCAGATGAAGACTGTGTGATGGAATAAAGAGGCGAAATCTAACAACATTGAACTTGTTAATAAGCAGAAACTTTTTGATACAGACTAAGAGAGAGTGAGGCCTTGCTACACAGCTTCCTATAAAGAGACGCAGCTTTAATACCCTGTGGTTTCCCCTTTTGGTGTCATTGATAAGTGTTGACCTGTAAAGTCTCCTATTATGAGTTCTGACTTAATAATATCCTTACACAAATGACTCATTATCATGTTTCATTGCAGATGCTTGTCTTGATACTTTACTATTCTAATACAAAGCATGAAATACATTAGTAAAGTTTACAGCATCTCTGCAAGCCACACAACAATGGATACAATCCCCCGGCTGTATCTTAAGGCATTCTCCGTCAAACAGAGTGTTCATGCAGGGACCATGAAGACGTGAGACCCAGACAGACTGTGACTGGTTTGGCCTTTGCTTCCCAGTCCCAGGGTGTGCCGTAAGATAAGTGTTATGCAACAAACCTCACTTAACATAAACTAAGTTTCAGTTTTATGCACAGGAAGCTCAAGTCTGAGTCAGGCTCCAAAATCCCTGCTAACTGTACTTAAACTGCTCACAGTCATTCTGCACAAGAAACTGCTTCCCGTCTATTCATTTGTACGAAAACTTATCGAAGCTTATCTTGATGATGCCATGATCTTTAGCATTGTTTGTCCCAGTGGGAAGGAACATCTTACCAAAGTTAAAGGAACACAACTCTGGTCAAACCAGTGACCAAGTGTTTTCTTCTCCCACAGCAGCCTCTTCCTCCTGATCGACTGAGCACATGTAGTTCCTTGTGGGTTAACCATGCCGGACCACAGCCTGTTGGACGGTTCTTGCTGCACCTTTGATTAGTCGTTGTAGGCCCAGGCCTTGGACATTGACGCATATCCCACAGCTCTGACTGTCACTGCGGTCACATTTTGTTGAGCTGCGGCTCGAGAGACTTTGGAAGGAATCAGAGGGTCGACAGAAAGAAGCTGGGATGTTGAGACCAAAGTGTTATCGAACTAGTATTTATTTGACCTGACTAGGGATGGGTATCGAGAACCGGTACTAAGTCAGTACCGGTACCTGATTGGACGGTATTGGTATACCATTAAGCCGCTGGACAAACGGTGCTGCTATCGGTATATGAATTACTACGGTGGCCTTGAAGTGCAAGACACCACAGCATTTCACAAAACACTACATAATTTCAGAAAACGCTGCAGCATTTCAGAAAACACTACATAATTTCAGAAAACGCCACAGCATTTCACAAAACACTACATAATTTCAGAAAACGCCACAGCATTTCACAAAACGCCACAGCATTTCAGAAAACACCATAGCATTTCAGAAAACGCCACAGCATTTCACAAAACGATACAGCATTTCACAAAACACAACAGTAGTGCTTTGAAAACGATTAATCGGGCGATTATTTCATCGATTAGTCGACTAATCTAACGATTATTTTTCTGTTGTTTGATTAATTATTAATCATTATTGTTTGATAATGTATCTCAAATAAATACCGAAAAACATTACTTCATTCATGACAACTGCGCACCAGCTTACGTGCAGCCCTGGCCTACCAACATTAAATGCTGACAAACGTTAACTAACACACAGCTGGTGCCGCTAGCTAGGTAGCTAACATTAACTACTAACCAACCAAGCACGAACAAAGTGATTGGTTGTTTTTGCTGCTAGTCAAGAAATTACGCTTTGTGATTGGTCAGCACCCGACGGCGCAACATGTCCCAACACATCAGCCGTTAGCACACACTCAGAGCTCACAGCTCCTCATATCTGTTCAGAAACTGGGCAAAAGTTAAACATGTACAAACCACAGGCTGTCTATGTCATGGTGAACACAGTCGCTGCTTTATTTATGTCTGTATGACGCTGTTGTGAGTGTGGACGGAGCAGCTACAGGTTAGTTTAGCCAGCATAGCTTCTCTCGCGGTGCTCGCTGCAAAAGTAGAGCAATGTTCTACTTTNGTCTGTATGACGCTGTTGTGAGTGTGGACGGAGCAGCTACAGGTTAGTTTAGCCTGATCGATC